TTAGCAAACAGAATATAACTAGTAGGGTTTACTTCAGGAATGAAAGAATAGTTCAGTACTAGGAAATCTACTAAGATAGACTTATAAACAGATCTAAGGAGGAAAATCACGTGACCATCTCCAAAAATGCTGAAAGGGCATTTGACGATATTCAACACTCATCCCTAATTTGAAAAACAAAAAAAACAAAAAACATTAAAATAGAAACCAACGGTAGCTTGAACATGGAAAAACATATAAATTAGAAAGCACTGATGGCAGGCTTGCTAAGCATAGGAATAAGACAAAAGTACCCAGTATCACAACTATTACTCGTCATTACATTTGATATTAATATATGTGGAGCTATAGCCAATGCAATTAGACAAGAGAAGGAAATGACATGGAAAATAATTGGAAAATAAAGAAAAAACTATTTATATGCAAGTACACTTGAAAACTCCAAAAGAATTAACAGGAAAAATTACAAACAATAAGAGAACTTAATAGGTGGCAGGATATAAAATTGATAAAACAGAATCAAGAGCTGTCGTATATACCTTTAAAAAAAAAAAGTTACAAGAAGATGGTAGAGTAGGAAGCACCAGGAATCTGTCTCCCTGTCTAGACAACAATCGCACTTGCAGAATCTGTTGGATATGACTATTTTGGAACTGTGGAGTCTGTCAAAGGATTGCAGCTTCCAAGGGAAGGGCTGGACTGAAAACTGCAGTTAATTTCAGCTCTTAGCATGGTAGCAGCTAGCCAGCCCCCACCCCAGCTCATGGCAGGCAGCTGCAAGTGTTCCTGGAGCATCTTGCACACAGCGGGCACGACCCTGTCCTCCAAGTATCTGCTGATCTCAGCGGCTACTGAACACAAGAGGTATAAAGAGACAGGGGTCACTGTTGCTGCAACCCCTCCTGTTGTTACAAGACTCTCCCCCTTAGGCTGAAGTGACTTCCCGGGAATTCAAAGGGCTGACACCTTCCCCCCACCCTTCGTTTTTCTCTTTTCCCACTTTTGGGAACCAGACATTAACAACTAGGACACTCACAAACAGCCACACATAGAGGGGCAATTAGAAAGTGATTGTGCATGCCCCTGCAAGGGCTCAGAAAAGACCTAAGGAAGACCTTTGGCAGATCCTCAGCACACAGACAGCCTACAAAAACCAAACAAACAAAAACAGTATCAAAAAACAGCAAGCTCTAGGGATTTCTAGAGCTGTCAAACAACCATCCATGTTCCACTGTACGAGAACTGCTGAGAGTACAGTGTGTGTGAGGAAGACAGTGGCCATCTGCAGACACCCTCAATTTGCCCAATACTGTACCCTCTACTTAATGACCCAGGGATCTGTGGCACCAAGAAAGAGGTGCAAATTGCTGTCTCCCCCAGACCTCCACACACGCCCCTCGACCGTATCATAGGATGCCCTGCGTACTCTCCCCTTTCTCTAGAAAGACAAAACACCCTCTGAGCGTAAGGCCCCAAACAAAGATACCTAGTAAGGATCACCCTGGCCTCATTCCAAACTCTGGGGACATGGTCCCTAATCTACATACTTCAGAGTGCCTTCTAAAGACCCCTGAACTCTGCTGGCCCAACTGGCTACTCCTCCCTCCAGCCTTCAGGTCCATTTTGTGCCCTTAGGGTGTCAACAGCCACTAGGTCTTTCCAGAACACACTACTCAGTGGCCGCTGGTCCTGTGCCCACCCCATGCCCCACCTGTGTTGCCTGACGTCAAGGCCAGTGGGTCCAACACTTCCTCCCCAGGCCAAAGCACAATGACCATGGATGTGGCTAAGTAGGGCAGGCGAGACAGCAGATGTGGCACTTACAGAGTGTATAATGTCCACCATGTCATAGGCTTTGGTAGATTCCAAAGGGACGACCGTGTCGAGCTCAGGAACCAAACGGTCACTTTAGGTAGAAAAAAAGACAGCTATAGTCAACAAAGGAAGAGCCAGTTACCTCTGTGGGTGGGGGGTGGAAAGGAAATGGGGGAAGCACATCGTGGGGACTGGGCCAGAGACAAAGAAACTTCCAT